TGGATATGCATTAAAACTTGGATAAAAATAGGTTTACTTTCAGGTGAGAAATAAGAATATCAAATAAATGTTCACTGAGAAAGGCTGGGTACAGACACAAAGATAAGGAAGATATACAAAATATATATCATGGAAGAATGGGCACATGTATGGATGATGATGATAGTGACAATAATAATGTCATAGTCTAAAAGAGGGTACAATAATAATTAGAATGACAGTGGCTAATATTGCTCACATAAAGAACACAGAAGGGCAGTGAAGGGAATGCTAAATGCTTACTTCAATATTGACACTTGCAAAAAGTTTTGAAATACATTATATGTGATAAGTGCGGAATAGGTGCCAAATGATTAAGCTTGTGAGAGTTCTTGATGGTAATGAATGGTAATCATGACTCTGGTTTTGTGTGCAATGATTCTTGTAGCAATTCTTACCCCAAAAGCACGACTTAGTTCAATAACTGCACTCTGTGTGGCATTGTGTATTGCTGAAACATATGTTTCTGATCCTAGACCGGCAATTGAGCTCATATTGACCACTATTCCCCCTTTTCCTCCTGCTGATTTATCCATGTACTTCAAGGCCATTAGAGTGCCATGGATAACCCCATTCTGTAAACAAATGAAATTACCGAAACACAAATCAATTAGCCATGTTGCAGAAAAAAGAAATATTAAATTGTAACAGTCTACAGAAGGTAAAAGTAATTTGAATATTAAGATATTTTGCTGCTTGCTCAGATATGTGAAAGCACAGTTTTGTTCAGTTTGACATTTTAGTAGGATTTGAGGTTCTCACAGCATTGGGTATAAAGATGGCTGTCTCCTGGGTTGTAGCGCTGTGTAGTCTGGCAGAAATTTACCAATGTGTCAGAGATTATTGCTGCCTTTATCATCAGGGTTCAGGGTAATGATGGAGACAGCATTTAACTACAACCCATAAGATAGCCATCTTAGTTTGAGATTGTTATTTAATGATGCCGTTTGAACTGCAGAGATTATTTGATGTTATTGCATGCTCGGTTTGTATGACCTGTGAAAGCACTCAGTCTTCACCTGTTTAATTGATGAACTGGGCTGTACTGTAAAATAATGCTGTATATTCCCATTAACTAATGTTCTGTCATTTGCTGCTGTTGCATCTCATTGTGATTATTTTATGAATTAATGTTTGCCAACCAAGAAATTTAGGCAGTGTAGGAGGGATTTTATGTGTTAGGTAGAATGTGAAGGCTTGAGTATTTAGCATTTATGGCCTATTTAAGGTAATATTACAACACACTCTTTTGGAAACTGGCATAATTTTAGTGGGTGCTTTGGCCATTACTTGAGCATAGGACATCCGAAACACAACTTAATTGTGTTACTTTGAAGTAAGCTGCCAAGTTAATACAAGTGTATTACCCAAAGTTAATGAACTACGTAATATCTAGCATAGATGTGTAATGCCTGTGGTCTGTAAGCCAGATCTGGCTGTCAATCTGCACTATGCTAGCTCGAAAGGGAAGTAAGTCAATTTTTACCAAAAAATAAAATGAGGGTTTAGGTCCCTCACAAGAAGCTAGATCCAGAAGTTCAGATACCAATGCCTGGCCACTACAATGAATCTTATGCAGAGTTGGAGAAAGGATTACTGAAGTAGAATAAACACCCTAAGAATTAATGAGTATGGCACAAGAGTACAAAACTGTGAAAGTGGACATGATACTTATTTTAGCCTCCTATAAAAAGAGGAAAATACTATTCATAGATTTGTATATTAAAGTTCTTCCCCTTGGGTATTCATTTTTATATCTTATAACAGTAATATGATACATGACCTGTAATGCTCGGTCCCTAGTATATGTAGTTATTTTTACAGCTTACCAGACTGACAGCCACTTCATATTTCCATTTTTTCTCGTTATATAAACCTGCGTTGTTGACGACAATGTCTAGATTACCAAACTTGTTGATAGTTTCTTTGAAAGCCTCTGAAATGATAATTATAAGAGTCAATACAAAACTATAAAAATGAAACAGTGAAACTGCATCCCAAATGTTTTAACCTTTTAGTTCCAGTCGCCAAAATCTCAAGTAGGAAAAACATTTCATGTTGAACATTGAATATTTATTTATTTATTTCTGGAGATTACCGGTATAGTTTGTTGCTTAAGGAATTAGCTATGAATAGTGATCCATAATATA